ATTGGAAGTTCAGAGAGAACGATTCTGTCTTCAATGAAGCCCTTGGACTCTGACAGAGAATGAGGTCTGTACTTTTTAACAATGTCTCTCATGGCCCACAGCATGAGTGTGCACTGATTGGTGTCACAATTGGGAAGCAGCAGAGGAACAGAGAACTGACACATGGACATTTTTAGTGCCATTTCCTGCTGTAGAAAACCATCAGAACACAGAAAGAGAGCAGTGATTATGTCGAGTGGGTTTGGCATGTCTGTGATCAATGATTGATCATTATGTTTTGTCCTATTTCTAGCTGTGACATTAACCATCATCAGTTCCTTTAGAAAATACCATGGGAGGTCTGATTTATACTTGGCAGGTTCATCATTAATCATCTGCTCATCAATCTCAAGTAATTTGCTACGTGATTGTTTCTTCCTGTAGTACCGCTTCAAGTTCAAGTCCTCCAATATGCTCACCAGGTGCCTCCCTGTTGATATAAAACATTTTCTTATTTCTGTAACCATCTTAATGACTATGTTTCTTACACATACAAATCTAATAACATCGTTCGCATAAAACGACCACTTCCTGTGGTAGTCTTATAGCTTTCATATATATACATAGGTATACTGCAAGGTATATTGTATCATTGTTCAAGTGTGTACCACACATTGGGAGGGTTTTTTAAATAGTTTGTTTTCCTAGAAATTAAAATCATCAAAGTAGTCTTTTATACTTAGTTTAAACAATGTTTAGTTACTTGTTTATGCAAAGTATTCATCACTGTGATTTGTTTTGTATTATAAAAGCTTTAAAAAACAAAACAAATAAAAGCTATAAAAGCATTTCTTTAAGTTTAGTTTCTTAGTTTTAGTGATGTGTTGATAGGTTTATTTTAGGGGTATCGTCTTCTTTAAATATTGCTAATCTAGAGTGTCTTTCTTTTCTAGTCATACTATTTCGCTGATCTACAAATACTAAAGTTAGATTCCACTATGCTGTTCAGATAGTAAACTCGTCTGGAAAGAGATCCTGTTCAAAATTGGCTAACTCTATTTTTAAGATTCTTCAAAAACGCTATCCACTGTACAGATTAAACTAAACAACTAGCCGAGGAGAATGGGTAGATGGATGGATAGGTAATAGTAATTTTCTCAGTATCTGTACCATGAATGTAAATTTCTAAAATTTAGATTTGACAAATTATACGAAACAGCATTAAATTTAGCTAAATTCACACTGATAACTGTTATATTTGGGATAACCTTACAGTGGAACTTTAAAATATTACTTCCAACCTACAAGTTTGTTTTTCAACTGTTTTGAATGTGCAGTATTATCACACAACTTTTCAAATAAACAAAAAGTATGATGAAATTACTTTATAAAGACATTTCCATGTTTACACTGAGACTTAGCAAGTCCATGCACCCGTTCCCTGTGTAACATATTTTTGTTTGTTTTTTGTATTTTAAATAGCTATGACTTAAATTTACTTACTTGTGTGTGTATGTCTGCTGCAGCTGGTCACAATGTAGGTCTTAGCTTCACCAGCAGGGGTCTCTAAATGCTGAGGCACTAAATCACTGTCGATATTAAACAGTGTTTTTTTCACATGACAACAAGGAGCTGTGGGAAAAATAATAGTAATAGTGATTGATAATGTTTTTACTTAAACGACTTTCATCATTTCATCATGCAGCTTTTTGCTGAAACATGAAATTGCATAAAAATGTATTTTACCTCCTGCATCAGTCTGTTGGCAGGGATCTTTGCAGATACTGCATGGAGTTGGAGGGGTCTCTACTTCCTCGCAGTAAAGCTCAACAAACAAGTCTTCGGCACTGATTTTCTTTTGATAAATGATTAATTCTATATTAAAAAAAATACATAATAATCTCCTAATTTTTTATTCAAGTACAAATTAGCTGCTTACCTTCATTGTGGGTGCAGTCCTTAACATCCCACTGTTGCTTTAGGTTAATCCAGCAGTGTCTCTCTTATTACTATAATGAAAGTAAAGTGATTATTCGTCAAAGATTATTTCCTAAATGGAAGTTTAGCTGTCAAAATGAAACTCAAATGTCAAACTAGACAACCAACTCTCCGTGGAGTTGGTTTTCTAGTTTGCAGGGGTGAAAAAATGAGTAGTGGTCTAATTTGGATATGTGAAACATATATAAATATATATATTTCAAAAACAAGGCAAGAAGAGAAAATTTGAAAACTGGATCTGAAAACACTGATCATGATTTTCCGGAATAGATGGAAGGACATAATTAAGAAGGGAGAGATTCAAGGATTCAGGAAAAACAAAAGGCTGCTTTCATGATGAGCCATATTAACCCTATAATGCCCTTTGTATCATATTTGATACATGAGCTTCTGAGACCTCTAGCTCATTAACATGATCAATACTTGCTATAATTTCAAATTGTTATGGACACAACTCTTTTTTTTTTTGTCTAAAATTAACATTGTTGTTAACAAAAAGTTGCCAAAGTCCCATGTATCAAATGTGATACAAAAAATGATAAATAATAATATATAATATATACTATATTATATATTTATATATATAATATATATTATAATATATATACACACATATCATATACTATATAATATAATATATTATATATATATATAGAATATATGTAATTGATATATATATATATACACATATATATATATATACAACATATACTATATATATATAGTATATATATATTCGTATATATAATATATAACATATCTATATATATCATATATACACATATCTATATTAATATATATACACTATATGCTATGATATATACTAGTATAATATTATATGTAACATTTCATATAATCATTCATAAATATACTATTTTCATATATATATATATATATATATAATATATAACAACATATAATATATATTATGGTAAATATATACAAATACATTATATAGTATCATATATATATAGGTGTGTTATATATGTATGTGATGTATATATATGTATGTGTTGTATATATGTATGTGTTGTATATATTCATGATGTGTATGTATGTGTATATATATGTATGTATGTGTTGTATATATATATATATATATGTATGTATATATATATATATGTATATGTATATGTATGTATATATGTATATGATACACATGACTGATATATACATATATATATGTTATAAGGGTTAATAAGCATCTCACTTCCATAAAATCTGAATTTTCTGGCTATGTTTTGATGGGCTGGGTCTTACAGGGTTAATACCTAAAGTGTAGCTGTTAATTGATACATTGGTACATACTGCAGTGGAGTGGACGACTGTACTAACCTGATTAAAAGCTGTTTCAATATCTATTAATAAACAAAATTAAATATATACATAGTATGTGTATGCATATGGTGGGGCTTGTGGACCAAAAATGCCGGAGCCAATTTTTTTGTCCCAGTCCAGCCCTGGTGAAAACCCAGCCCATTTCAATTATATGTATTATATTACTGGATCATAATAAACAAGATAGATTGAGTTGAACTTTAATTAATTAATTAACAGTATGTAAATTAAAGTAATTTAATTAATAATTAATACGTTTGTTTACAATTTAGTTTGTTTATAATTTACACAAATTACCGCACTGCAGCACTAATTTACATACTGTAAAAATAATTATTATGACTTTGGAAAGAGAATACTAAAGCTCATAAGACATAAGTTTAACTAATGGGTAATTATAGGAACATGGCACCTGTAGTACATTGAGAGACATGTATAAAGTTGGAATGGGCTGAAAGCATTAACAAACAATCCACTTCTTAGCATTTTTGCATTTATAGCATTTATATTTGTGCAACAGTATTTGCTGGCACATCACCAAGAGGTGCATTTCAGATTATGTGTAGGTAACAGAAGTATAAATTCCCTAGGTTGTCTCCTAGTGGTCAGTGTGCCAAAGGTGGCTTCACAATGGACTGGAAAATCAGTTTTGATGGTTCACTAGCTAGTTGTTGTTTTTTTTTGTTGTTTTTTTTTTGTCTTCCTAATCGTATACATAATGAAAGCATCACTGATGAAAAACAGACCTACCTAAAATAACCTACCTTTATAGCAGATATCTGATCACGGCAAAATGCTGTTCTCTGATCCAGTGTTTGTTTGTTCTTTTTCTTTCCTCTTTTCTACAATATTCACAGTAAAACTGCTGTTCTGTTTCTATCCCTGTAACAGTCTACTGCTACTGTCCCTATAGCAGTGTACTGATGGTGATTCTGAGCTCTCCTTTTATATTGTTAGGCGAATACTTTCACTTTCACTCAGGTGAGGCAGCAGTTTTTTTTCACTTTCACAGTCACAATCAACCAGTCAAGCTTCAGTTAATGATTGAGGCATTTTAAGGAAAAGAAATGGTATGAAAAAAAAGCTTATATTGGAATAAGATCAGCAAATCTTTTCCTCATATTTGACTGATGGTTTTGTATATGCAATTTTATTTTCATTGAAACTGTA